GACAGGGCCGGGCGGAGCCGGGTAAGCCAGGTAGTTGAGGAATAAAGCTTCGAAACTATGCACCTACCTTACACTTCAATTCTGGATATTCTTTGCGATTACTGCCATATTTGAGTAGAAAACCCCAAGATGCGAATTGAAGAGCGAGATTCTGCTATGATTCCACGTCCATGTAGTGATTTATCACCAGCAGTAACTGGAATTTTAGCAGAACTCGTTCAATAATAATGTCGTATGCATCTAACTTCTTTCAGTCTGTACAGTAAGACGGGCCATCTAACGATAAGTATCTACGTATAAGTAAATAAATAATTCCCTCCTTAGTCTAGCCTCAAAATACCGGTTCTCCTTTCCGATTTCCTTAGCCAAAAACTGAGTTTTCCTCCTAAAAGTTTGTAATCAAGTTATCGACTCTTTTTCGTTACCCAATGAGCTATTCGTCTCCGAAATCCCCTTCTCTCAAAGCTTACTGGCCAAAGTCACAGTATCTTCCTCCCCAATCCAAAGTATTCTCGCTCACAGTGTTCGCAGCTACCCCTCAACTTTTTCGTGCCAAAATCCCAGAGCTTCTTTCTCGAATTTTTTTAAAGCTGTGGATGTTGCAAAGATTCCGAACTTTGACAGCCAAACTCACGGGTAACCTTGTTTATTCGAAATGGCTTTTTAGATGCAATGTATACCATATTGGAAAGCACAAAATGTTGGTTCCAAATCCGCCTTCTCTTGCGGAAATGGACGAGAAGTCATGAGAGTTTTTTGAAGTAGAAAAGAAAAAGTGCATCTAGTATAAAATGAGGCTAACTCCCTAGCCCTTAAATAAAGCAACCAAGTGTGATATATTTTTTATCTAAAAGTCTTTATTGAATAGTGCTTTGATAGTCATCACTGCTCCATTGAAACTCTAGAAAAATATTACAACAATTTTTGTCCTCTTTGCACATGTAATTTTTGCTTAAATAAAAGCTCATAACTCCTCGTCCATAAGCGTTCCGTAAGGAAGGCAGATTTGGAATCATTGTTTTATGCTCTCCATTATGGCATACAACGTATCTAAAAAGTCATTTCGACTAAACGTAGTTCCCTTGTCAGTATCTTTCTCGAAAATCCTTCCTCCTCCCTCTTTCCTTCCCCTCCCCTTCACTGCACTGAGCAGGTTCCCACTGCTATTTCCTCCACCACTTTTCGTGACAAAATGCTTCTTGAGTCCGATTTTAATACTGACAGCCGTGCTGTCATAAACGGAGCTATTACAGTATCCAGGCCCCAATAGAAGTGATTCTGCTCAAACTCGGTCTAAGTGATGGGGGGGGGGAGGGGTTACTCGACTGCTGATGTCGATTTTTGCGCGATAGCGTCCTTTTTGGGGCTACAGTAGGTATATTGTAGGAGGTCAAAATCACGGATTTGCTGGAACGTGGCTTAGGGGTGTATTCCAAATGCTGATCACAACCGTTATATTTTTTCTGCATTATAGGGCCCCTTCTTACGGTAGGTTTACGGTATGGAACAAAATTTTGAGTTTGGCTAAAATTCGGTCTACAAGGGTTATTTCACACGCTGATCACAGACAGCATATTCTGCGTTTTGGGACCCTTTCGTAGTAGAGCGTCAAAATTGTACACCTGCTTGAAAATCATCTGACTTGCTGATCACCAAGACCGTGGTCATTCCGCATGATGAAGCCTTTGGGTGATTTTTTATTTAAATGACCCGAAAGGCAGGAAAATGTCCATCTATACTGCAAATTACCTTCCACAACAAGGCATTAATGCCGCGAGCAAACATAATAGAATCGGAACCCTTCAAGCCAAAGTTATGAGCAACTTTGGAACTACGACCCATCTAGCGTACACTCCCGCGATAACACAATAGTGCTATTTGAGAAATCGCATGGTTGTTCATGTTCAGTGGGCAAAATAACCCCCTAGTCAAAGTTTAGAGCTTATATGTAGTTTCGACCCCATATCTTATATCACCGTGACTCCATGAAAAGGCGCCAGAATGCGGAAAGAGTATGATATTCGCGATCAGCAAGTTAGAAACCCCCCCCCCTTAGACCAAATTTCAGCCAAAACTACCTTGACCGTCTACCGTATGAACCGTACAACCGTACCCCTACAAATGACGTTCTTGTGAAAGGAATGTAATGCTTGTGAACCCCGCAAATCGGGTTTTAGCGGAAATCACGATTCTGAGATTTTGGATCCCGCATACTGGAGTTGCGCCTTTCGAACTCCCCCGCAAGCATTTTCAGTCCGTCCAAGCTTACAGTTCTCATTTTCAGAGTTTATATGCTAAACCCGAATCCTTCTTTCAAGTCCTTTTCTCTCACTTCATTCGAAGAATACTAAGCAGGGAATGTTCAGAAGTTAACCAAGTCATACCAACCACATATACATATCATCGGACTCATTTTGAAACGCTGATCACAAGTATATCTTTATTATCCGCCAAGCGACTATCTGGGAGGAGTTATGAGCGTTCAAATGTGCGATTTGTCAAGTGTTCTGTGGCGCACTTTCCACGAAATAGGTTTCAGGAACACTTATTTAGGTTCATGGTGAGTGCTTTTTCCTTGCATTCAAAGTGATCATAACCACTGTAAATCCGCGCCATTAGGCTGCCTTTTTAAAAAGGTATATTCTTTGAAACTCGAAAATCTCTTATTTGAAAGCTCATAACTCCTGCCAGATAGTCGCTTGACAGATAAGACAGAAACATTTGTTTGAAATCAGCGTTTTAAGACGAGTCCGATGATATACAGCTTGTTTGAAATGGCTGCGATAAGTCTTGACCATTTCCTCGTAAGCCGCATCCCAAAAAGTACAAAAGGAGAATGTGCACGGCGATCGCTTTGCCGTGGAGTTTGCGCTCATCTTGTGGATGCAAAGTCAGGGATCTTTAATGCGCGAATCAAATGTTATAGTGGGAGGATATATCTTGCTGCAAGGTAAGTTGACATGTTGGTCGTTCCTCTCTTCACCATACCCATTTTTAGTATATTATCTCCTACTGTATTTTTTTGTATTTATCGTCTACGCTGTTTGATGGTATTGTGATTGAGATGGCTCACTTATAATGAACATAGTTCATTATCCGTAGTGGAGCGCGCCACATTCTGCGGCGATTTAGCCTAAGCGAAAGAAGGGAAACGAAATTCTCTTTGCGTTCGTTGTTAGAGTGATGCAATACATCCACGATGCGTGCTCCTGACAATTCATTTATGGTACTTGCTCCTGTAATAGTCGTCGCTCTGCAGCAACCCTTTGAGAAAAATTCACAAAAATTGTTATTCAAACTATATGCGCACCATGCGTTTCCGACAGAACTCTCTACAAAACATTACTAGACGATGAGCTTTTACGGCACTGAAAAAAATTGTTAGTCGATGTCTCAGTGACCCAGTATGACGTTTCTCACACCTGATAGGCATTGGACCGCTAGTCAAGGTAAGTTCAGCGGGAGGAGAAAGAAAAGCTGCATCGAATGCATGTTGAAGCTCGTGTTCTTATTGTGCGTGGTTTTATAATGTTTTGAAAAAAAGAACAAAACTTTTGGGACGACCTCATACTTTCGTGATCACCACGCTGACTTACCCCTCTGTGCCAACTTCCATCCCCTTGCTCAAACTTTTTGAAAAATCGGTAAAATCGATATCGATCGATGACGAAGCCTACGACACCCACCCGCCCGAAGTGTATGCTCAGACAAATCACCGGAACTTCCGCAGGACAAGCCAAATTTGCAGAAGTTCTGCAGGATTTTGTCCACTATTGCAAGAATGAAAACGTTGAAAATCGGAAATCCGCGTGGTTTCCATGACAAACGGTTGAAAACCGGAACTTCCGCAAAACCTTCTTCAAAATCCTGCGGAGATTCCAAAAAATGCCAGAGATTCCGCAGCACTTTGGCTTGCCAGAACTTTCGCAGGACCTTGACTGCGTTGTCTCGTAATGTTGCCTCACCAACAACTAGACTGCATTATCGAACATGTCAGCCGTAGCGTAGAGGATAGTAGGTTTGTCTGATAATCAATAGGGTGAGGTTCAAATCTCGCTTCGGTGTTCTCTTTTGCTGTTGTGGTTGGCATTCTTCGGAACTTCCGCAGCACGTTTACGGAACTTCCGCAGGTGACCCGACGAAACTTCCGCAAGCGCTCTGCGGAAATTTCGGTCATTTGTCTGAGCGTGCGCGAAGCTTCCGGATCTGTTTAGAAATATTCTATTCGGAACATACGTACAGACAGACACACACACATACAATACATACACACAAACACACATTCAGCTTTATATATAAGATAGAGCCGGTAGGCCCAAATCTGGTATAGCCAATTTTTATTAGATGGTAGCCAGAAGTTCAGGATGATGTGGGAGCAATGTATGAAAAGTCCCCCCTCCCCCTCCTTATTTCCCTTCCTATAGTATGCTAGACGCGGAGGTGCGAGAGTTTACACCTGGCCGTAGGAGCTCACACCTCGCACTTCGGAATTGCTCATCGTCCGAAACGACACTCAGCCCAACCTACATTTCTGGAACGAGCTACACAGGGATTTAGGATAGCGAATAATAAAATGGATAAGTCCCGTCAACTATGGGCATATAGCTATTCTTCTGTCCCTTGCCTTCTTTGTCATCCCTATCTTCATGGCGCGATGACCGAAAGATGATAAAATAAAAATAAAGAATTTTATCTGTAGTTTACCCGAGAAATACTCTTTATTCACTCTTAAATACAAACGTACGTTTACTTTTCACTTCAGTGTGAGACTCCACGTTTCAAATTCTCAACGTTTGCCTCTACACCCGTAACAACAAAAAATATACCTAAAACAATGTAGAAAGTATTTAAAATCATGATTATTATCAGTTTTGGGAGCACCATCTCCCTCCACCATTTTTGTAAGAAAACTATAGTTTCTATCAAAGAAGGAAATACAAGCGCTAGTAGCATGCCGGTTGTAACTCCTACAAGTGGAATGATCTGTTCGAGATTCGGTATCAACCAGGCGAGTCCAACTGAAAGGGTCTGATTTCATTGCTAAAGCAGCGTCTAGAGTTGCAGGTGCCAGCTCCGTTCCAAGGCCGTGCCAATCCCCTGCCAGAATCCACTTGTACACATGCTGCATATTGATCGATCAATCTTGACAACACATCCTGATCACGTCGGTAAGTAGAACGGCAGTAGAACTGCGCTTGAGCCTTGCTGGAACGGCGCTGGAATGGCGTTGGAGCGGCGTTGGCACCGGCAGCTCTGAACGCAGCCTCGGGACGGTCGTAATGCCACTCACGTACGAGAAAGACCAAGGAAAATCGGAAGCAGTATTCGAGGCCGATTATCCAAAATCTTCTAACATTTCGTTTTCGAAGAGGTCTCTTGACCAGTGGCCAAATTAGCTCTATTAAAGGGTATTGCATAATGAGAAAACTAGTATAGACAACGCACAGCAGCATAGCTTTCACCGCAACGTTCAGCCTGAAATAATTTAGATTCAAGACGGTGATAAATGGTTCGAACTTACGGAGAATTTGATAGATTCAGTGTGATAGATCCTTGTACAGCATCGCCAAAAGTTATATAGCCGTAAAATCCGCAAGCAGCGTAGATTATAGTAACTAATGAGACACCAATGGATAACACTCCAGTATAGCCAGTCATCTCCTTTGGATGTTTCATTTTGTTCTCAAGTGGGAGTACCTAAGAAATATTTGGTACCTCCAATGGATGAATTGAGTATATAGTCCGTTTCAGACCGTTCCCATTCCTTCTAAAGCGTACATGATAGATCCAGCGGCTAAAAAGAATCCATTGAGACTGGTAAATGCTGGTAGAGACCAGGTTGGAATGTGCTCAAAGGTAACCAATTCCTGAAATCTAATACTCTATGTGAATTACAAAGACATTTTGGGAGAGATTTCTTACACCCAAAATTATCGCCAAACTCGCCACCACGAAGACGTTGCCTAGCAAGGAAAACAGTGACAGTACGTAAAGACTCCGAACCAGACACAATACAAGAAGAGCCGGTAAGGTGAAAAGAAAATAAAGGTCACGGTTGATAGTGCTATGTGGCCAAATAATTTCAACAATCTGCAAACAAAAATGAAAGAATTACAAGCTTTGCAATAAAAGTAAATATTAGGTTGTAAAGAAAGTTCCCGGGCACTTTTGGAAATTCCATTTTCAAACGCATTTTTTCGGCGCTCGGTCGGACTTTGACACCAAGTTTTTTTAAACTGTTCGGTAGAGGGAAGCCTGATGTTTTCAACAAGCCTTCTGACTTTTATTGATGCCAAGACGTGTTTGATCTGCACGTCAAAAAGAGAAATCTTTTCAAACACAAGAATTTCACAATTTTCCTTCCTACGGCCACTTTTTTGTGCAGTTCAAAGAATTTCGTCCAAATCATGGGTGATTTGATTGAGAAGCCTGTTGACTTCTGATCCGTCAATGTACTCGAGTTTTGCGATTTGCGCTCAGAAATTACAAGCTGTCGAATCTGCCTCTGACTGCAACAATTTTCGCAGCTGGCGTCGCTTCTGCGGGGATCGCCACGCCTGGATGATGGGTCCAAAAGAAGGCAATACCCCAACAATGTTCCCAGTAATCAAAGATTTGGTGCTTCCTGTGCAGAACTAGAAGGGAAACTCACTTGCTCGAAAAATGGTGCATTTTCAGGGGCAAAAAATGGTCGATTTTTCAAATTTTTCGGGGAAAGTTTTTTGCAGGTAGTCCTTCAAAACATGAATGGTCCCCATAACAGCCCCATGTCGGGACGCAGCTATTACCCAACAGCTGCGTCCCGACACCCAGCAAACCTCTATATGACTACAACATCTGGGCTCTCCAGCTCTTATCATGCCTGAGATCAATCATCCTGCACAAATAGGCCACTTTTCGCGACGACCCTTTTCCCTTCTGCGCATGCTGGTGGACCGCAGTGAGGCCAGCAAGACAAATATATGTTGTGGACAAAATTGTCTCTGCTGTGAAGTTTGTAGCTTTAAAAAAGAATCGCTATGCTTGAAATTACAGCGATTTGAAAAAAATTTTCGCAAGTGCCAGGGAACTTTCTTCACAACCTAATAATTAACCTCCTTAGAGTGATCGACGATGAATATATAGTAAACGCTACATATGCCCAGCTGTAGCAGAATTAAACAGGTATTTATGATCCACCTGAAAGAGATTTTAAAGGATGTACGGTAGGAACCGGGCTGCACCCGGAGTCGTGCGTGTCAGGGCCGTGTCACCGCAACTCCAGCGTCGTGCCAATGTCGCACCGGCGTAATAACGTTCAAGAACTGCGTGGAAGGCTGCATATTGATCGATTGCAGCTCGTGTGGACGCACTGCATAATGTATATTGGTCGATCGACCTAATTCCTGTAAGCGATAGGACGGCACTGGAACGGCTGACACGGTTGACTCTGCACGAAGTCTACCAAGTCATTGTTGAATCGTTGACCGCACGGACTGCTTGAAAGCTGCGGCTCACGCGCGGCGCGGCTGAATAGTCGCAGGAGCACGACTTGTACAACGGCGCATTTGTACTGGCGCAAGCGTTTTACCTCGCGGTGCGTGCTCCGCAGTGGTTGTTTAGCCCGTATGGTCAACGAATCAACTATACCTTGCCACATATTTGAACTTTCGTAACCGTTTATGACTGTTAAACGCTTCCTGCCCTAACTGTCCGTAATCCAGCGGCCCGCATTTATACCTAAACACTAGCGTAAAAAAATTATACTCAGAAAATCTTTTCTGCCTCCTACCTTTCACACAAATATTGCGCACTAACAACAAGCTTTATCATACACAAAGCTGCTATGATACCGAATATAAAGACAACTGTGAAGGCACACTAAATTGAAGCAGATTACCAAGTTATAGAGAGAAAAAAGGTAGACTGCCAACTTTACCCAAAGACCAGCTTGTTTGAAAGCGAGAGGTAAAGCGAAGCATCCGGGGCCAATCATACCCTTTAAGAAGTTAATGAGAGCAAATGTCGTACTAAAAGAAATGTAATCAAAAGCTTAGTTAGTCAGACTTCCATCTACAAACATACGAGATCTTCTTTTGTTTCGAGTGGCGGTTAGTATTCGGCTTCAAATTTTTATCATCAGTTTCAAAATGTTCATTGATAGGCGGGTTGCTGTCGACCACAGCTATGGATCCTGGCATCTTGGCAAGTGTGGAGCTGTACCTGGGGAAAAATCAGATAGTAAAAAAAGCAAAAGGTTCTTTTAGGTACAGGGTGCAGATCTAGCTGTTGCTTGCTAGTCAGTATGAACTAGAAGCTTTCAAAAAGCTTCATTCCATTTCTTTTACATTTTTGTAACTTGCTTACAAAACATCAGGTTGCGGGTTAATATTGAGGCTTTTTTTAGACTTGTGAAAAATTTCAGAAGTTTTCCAAACTTCAAATTTGGGCATGACAATGAGCTTATGACACTTTTGTAACCGCACTCAAATTTTCATTCTTTCTTAATTTTTAGCTGCGCTCCCCCCTATATTTTCTTTCAAACGTACGTCATTATCTCTCCTATGGCGGCACTGTGATGCTTTCAGGTCTTCAAAAACGAGGGACGAAAAAAATAAAAAATTCAAAAAAATTTTTTGTGCGCATGGTATAAAAACTGATACAGAGAACTTAGGAACAGATTTTTGCAAAAAAAATTTTTCCGGGCAAAAGTGGGTGTTTTGCGGGGTGGTGGAAGGGCTTTAGACCCCTTCAACATGCCTTGGACATGAGATGAAAGATTCTGTTTTTTTTTGAAAACTAAAAATAAAAGTTATGAGCTTGTTGAGCGTCGACCAAGATATTAACCACACTTTATTCACGGCCAACGTTTCGGCGGGATCGCCTTCGTCAGAGCCTAGAAAGTCGAAAACATAAGTGAACATTCTCCTAGACGCCAAGATTCTAGCTCAAGACGAAAGTCAAATTGGAGAGAGGCGAAGGCAAAGAGAGATCGGGTAACCAAGACTCACCTTCGATAGCGTGTGATGATGCGTTAGACCACCATATACTCAGACTATACCTCTTCCCCTATTTTTAGTGCTCGGGTGACCTGACCTCATATCAAAACCCACAGAGGTATTGATATGGCGCCAGTTCATTGGTGATGACTATGCACTCTTCCTTCCGATTCATCTTTGGATTCTTGGCGTTGATCCAGAACGCTTCCAAAGTTTTGCGCGCTCGGAGGTCGGGCTCGTACGCTAATATAGTCACTCCAATACTAATCTCAGCATTTTCATGACACGAAATGCGATGGCTGCCTAACGGCGTAGCTGCTTTCAGTTTGTTCAAACAAACTGAAAGCAGTTCAAACAAACTGAAAGCAGCTACGCCGTTAGGCAGCCATCGCATTTCGTGTCATGAAAATGCTGAGATTAGTATTGGAGTGACTATATTAGCGTACGAGCCCGACCTCCTAGCGCGCAAAACTTTGGAAGCGTTCTGGATCAACGCCAAGAATCCAAAGATGAATCGGAAGGAAGAGTGCATAGCCATCACCAATGAACTGGCGCCATATCAATACCTCTGTGGGTTTTGATATGAGTCAGGTCACCCGAGCACTAAAAATAGGGGAAGAGGTATAGTCTGAGTATATGGTGGTCTAACGCATCATCACACGCTATCGAAGGTGAGTCTTGGTTACCCGATCTCTCTTTGCCTTCGCCTCTCTCCAATTTGACTTTCGTCTTGAGCTAGAATCTTGGCGTCTAGGAGAATGTTCACTTATGTTTTCGACTTTCTAGGCTCTGACGAAGGCGATCCCGCCGAAACGTTGGCCGTGAATAAAGTGTGGTTAATATCTTGGTCGACGCTCAACAAGCTCATAAGTTTATCAACTATCGATGCCAAGATTGATAAGCAACCGAAGTTGGACAATAAAAATAAAAGTGTGACAAAAATTATCTGCGAATCCAATGAATAGAAAAATGAAGAAATAGTAGTAGCCTGCGAAATGGTCAGTAGATATTTTTTGAAAAGTATCGGCACACAATGAAATTCACTTTCTTGACAATGAGTCAAAGCAAACTTCAATAAAAAACGCACGCAGCTTCTTCTTGTACCTCAACTAAGCTGATTTTGTTGGCTCGAACGGTTTAGTGTTCATCCTTTGACATTTCATAAAACATTTCACGGCAGAAATAACGCTGGAAATTGAGAGAGTAGGAATCACAAATACTATGAAGATTGCTTCAAAATATGTGCACACAAAGAGCGAGAAGAATTGGCGTTCTATCTTTAGAACACACATTATTCGAACAGTCAATCACTAATTCGTTCATTTGCGCATCTGGACCCGTGAGAAAAAAAACCATCTAAAACAGTGAACTTAAAAATCAAGTTAACTCCTCATTCGTGATTAGTGGCAATTCCCGGGAGGAAGGTATTAGGTTGTTACGTAAGTCTTTTTACACTTTCCTTTTTTATGACGATAAGTCGTAAACATGATTTCAATAGGGCTTCAAGGCACCATTCGATAAAGCAAAGCAAGCTCTACGAGATGGTCTGCGAAAGTTCGCACCATCTTCGACCCACCGTAAGTTGCATCCCGATTGTGAGTCGCGCTGAAAGTTCACAAAATTAGGAAAAATTCACATCTTCGTACAAGAAAAAATCCTGCATCTCCAACTTGCTGACAAGATTGCACACCACATTGGACACTCATATGCACCCTTGCTATATTTATTCGTCATCTAGAAATCGAGAAAGCGAGAATTTTTTGTTTTTACAAAAACGAAGTTAAGCCGTTTCCCTTCATGTAGTTGTATACTGCAAGCCCTATAGCCGTAAATTCTCACCTTTCCTCAAGCCCTAGTTTTCGAAACATACCGAATTTAGCTTTTCTCACTCACTGGGACGTTCAATTCAATGCTAAATTCGATATTTTTGACCTAGCGTACTTTTGAAGACACCTTGCTTACTTTCCCAATCTCTCTTAAGCTTGTTTGCAGAAAAAACGAAAAAAAGAGCATTTGAAGATTTGGCGAAATATAGAAAAAGCCAAGAGCATAAGTTTTCCACATGTATGCCTCTTTTTTTTCTGAGCAAATTTGTACTGACAAGCTTTCCCATGATAAATTATGGTTCTCGAGAAAAATGCCAAAAAATCAATCCCCCCCCCCCGTATTTCGCTTTATATCGAACCATAACTTTTCAAAGAAGAGCTCAGTCACAACAAAATTGTGGAGTTGGCATCAGAAATTCGTCTCAAAAAATTACTGTTTACGACTGTTTGGCATTTATTAGCACACTTTTAGTTTTTTAACCTGGCTTATTCAAAATACCGGATCTCCAATGATGTCCAATTTTTCCATGTTTATCCCTGCAATCAGAGCTTAGTAGACAAGGTCTCATTAGAAAGTAGATGATTTACACTTTCTAATAATATCGATGCCACTAAGTGATCAGTACACTAAGAAGTTACGGTTTCTTAAATATGGTGCGAACAAAATTTCGTTTCAACCTAAAATATACAAAATTTTGTAGGGCGTTAGCATGCAAAATCTGGGCACTTAGGTTCCTGTGGGATCTGTTGAGAGATCTCATTCCGGTCTCATATTATAGTGTGGACCCCGGCCAGCTTCCCATAGGTGTATAACTGCGCGACCCATCCGCAACGCACGCCTTTACCGCAGCTTCTGTTTTAGTTTCTGATGGAATTCCTCTTTTTTCTCCCATTTTCTTTTTTGTTGTACTATAATCCCTCTAGTTCAGGTATAAGCAATCCGCGATAACCGGTGACGAGGTTTCACGTGTTCTAATAGTTCTGAGAACTTCAGTCTTCAGTAGTCTTGTGTTATTCCTTTTTTTTCGAGAAATTGAGATTCCACTGAATTCTAGGAAAAAATTCCTTCAAAAATTCTCGTACAAAATAAGATTTCCTTTCGGCTTGATTTGTAAAGTATAGACAGTGCCTCAAATCAAAATTGAGCTTCTCGAAAAGCCACTAAGGATTTGCTTACAAAAATGTCAATTTTTTAAAAATCTTTACCAATCTGGTTTCTACGTCTACAAGGAGGACCGTTCCAAAAATGCTGTTCTTCTCTTCCTGCTCTACCTATACTAATTACCGCTTGTCCATCAGTGCAAGTTCAAAATCTGCATCATTCGTTTAAGTTTGAGGTACTAATGAAGGTTGCGTGCGTTTTAATCTTGCGTAAGTTTCTTTCTTAGTGAACTCGGATTCCGCATCACTTCTCTCCTATAGGGCGTAGACATGCTCTACTGCTCATGAGTAAGGTGAGAAGCATCAGCAGGTGCGCGGGCGCGCGCTGCGGATACGCCGCGGAGGTGCCTATGGGAAACTGGCCTTACACTATATTTGCTCGCGGCCCAGATGTTCATATCGCTAGCATTGCTCAACCAGTCAAGTCTTCGAGTACGGTACTGGATAAAGAGTTAATCTGTTTCTATCGACATTACTGGACTGTTGCACTTTCTTGCCAAGTCTATGGGCCTTATTGTTATCGGTGTGTCAGCTAATGAAAACACTTTGTTTTAGGTGACACTAGTTAACACCTATTTTTCACACTTTCATTACTTGCGATAAGAACAGAGAAACAAAAAGAGTTTTAGGCCGGGGGCATACCTCACGCGACTTCGGTCGCCACACGATCTGGCAATTTGCCAAACGCCTTCCAATACCGGAAGACCCCAGATGCACAGTATGTATGACCTTCGTAGGTTGGAAAAATGCCCTATCTTCCGTGCATCCAGAAACCCCATAAGATGAGTTATGACCAATTGGAGTATTGAATCGTGTTGCTACTGAAAACGCATGAGGTAGGCTCAGAGCCTTAGACAAAAATCTCGGCCTTTGAATGCTTTCTTCATTCTTGATAAACGTCATTTTGTACCTTTAAGGAGATAAGTTATCATTGTAAGCTCTAATAATGAAAAAACGCTCACTAATCCTTGAAAAAATGGTCTAGATTCTTAAACCGCTTATAATACTTGAAATTCTGTAAAGCGGGCGATTTGTTCGCGATCACTTAATCTTCTTGATTTCCTCAATTAATAAGAAAATTGTTAACAACTCCACGAGCACGAGTTTCCTCCTGGAGGACTCGCGTTTCTCGACAAAATGCTATACTCAGACACTGGGACCGGGCGAGCCGCGGCCTCAAAAGGCCTTTCCGGCCCATCCGCGGCCTTAATTTGTGGGCGTAGCCGGAGTGCGACCGAGCCGCGGACCTTAATTCATGTCAATATCATTGCACCGGCCGAGCCGCGGACTGAATATGACTTACCGGCTCAGCCGCGGCCTTAATGATGGGGGTGGCGCATTGCAGCGGCTCAACCGCGGACCAAAATCTATATAACGAAACTCCGGCCGAGCCGCGGCCGAAGTTTCATTATAGAGATTTTGGTCAGATAAGGTCCGCGGCGCCGCTTACAGCATAAAAAGTACTTGCGTGATGTACGACGCATGGTCAGGCTGCCCTCAGTGTTCATAGTCTTCGCTGTCTTTCAAGTCTTCAAGGCGGGAACAAGATCAATATGTTGTACAACCTTGGATAGCATCTCGTGTTGTCCAATGTTGAAGTCGGACTTGGTCTCCGAGCCCGCTGTATCGGTGGCCTCAATTTTTGTTTTTTTTACCGTGTATGTTCTATGTGCCAGTGAAAAAAAAACAGTTCTACTGTATCCGAGCTAGATTGAACTAGACGGCCCGACAACCAGCTCCGGCTGAGCCGCGGCCCAAAAGCGGACGAGCCGAGGCTGTTTTCCGGCCGAGGCGCGGCCCATCTCCGGCCGGGCCGCGGACGCTGCAAAATTCCAGCCGGAAAAGGTCCGCGGCTCGGCCGCTCCCGGCGTCTGACAAGGGAGGTGTTTTCGGTCGAAGTGGCCTTTTCAAATGGAACTGATACGACTATAAAGAGCATCAAATGCTGATTCCAAATCTGTCTTCGTTATCTTCCGAGCGCCCCTAGACGTCGAGTTATGAGCGTTTTTTGAGTTGAGAAATTAAATGCATACTTAGGACAGTATTCGTCAGAATTGCTCAAATGGTCCGATGTTGATTATCAAAGCACTTTATTTAAACAATTGTTTTATCCAAAGCATTCATACTTAATACTGCTCTATTTAAACGTTGAGAAGACCATAAAATTTTATTGTAATTAGGTTGTGCGTTCATTTTTCGCACCAAGAAAATATTCATAACTCGACGTCTAGAGGAGCTCGGCAGATAATGAAGACAGATTTGGAATCAGCGTTTGAGGCTCTTTATAGTCGTATCAGTTTCATTTGAAAATGCCACTTCGATCGAAAACACCTCCCTTGTGAGCTCAGACACTGGGGCCGGACGAGACGCGGCCCATTTACGACTGGAATTTCGCAGCGTCCGCGGGTCAGCCGGTGAATGGTCCGCGTCTCGGCCGGAGAAGGGCCTCGGCTCAGCCGATAGTGGGCTTCGGCTCAGCCGATAATGGACCTCGGCTCAGCCGATAGTGAGCCTCGGCTCAACCGTAGCTGGCTATCGGGCCGCGTGTAGTTCATTGTAGCTTGGCCATAATTAGGGCTTGGTTTGCCGTATCCAGGAATATCCCACTAAATCATATAATAATTGATTCTCTAAACCGAAAACGAATTCACGGTAGAACTTCTTTTTATTCAACAGCACAGGAGAGATTACACATGGAATTTCCATTTCAAACAACAACAAACGTGAGAACATGCTAGCAAGATAACAAAAGCATAACGAAAACGACAACAGGACATTTGAACGAGGTGGAATTGCGTTTGGAACCCGTTAATCTATCCCTAAAGGCAGTAGTACGTGCTGTCGTCGACTACGTGGATTTTTTCTATGTCGACTACGTTAATGTTTTCTTCAATCAGCTTTTTCTGCCGCTGAAATACTCAAAATTTCAGAAACGCAAATCTATGTAAGTAAACTCACAGTACTTGGACTCCATAGACCACCGTCTTCCTTGTGTTTGGACGCTCGTACATCTTTCTGTAAATTAGAGTCATTGAAGAATCTAAACGATATTCTACACCACATACAATGCTTTTTGTAGCGCTTCGAATATGTGGGGTTTCCACTGTATGCTCTTCTATCAAATTGAAAGTCCGTTTCTTCGCTCTTCCTCAGTGCTTCCCAGGCTGATGTAGTAACTAAATTGATCGAACCAGTACTTTGCTGAAATCACGAATTTGTTACATTGTTATATTCAACTTCTATTCACCTTGAATCCTGGAATTCTCCTTCATATCCAAAAACCAGCTCGGCTTATCCATACTCAAAGCCATCTTCGGCGAAATCTGAAGCTTGACAGATTCGAAATTTCCAGCAATGACCAAACATTTGCCTACCTAACAGCGTTTCTTCTATTTCTCTTGGAAGGTCTTTTAAATTCTCATCATGCCCTTTCCTCTCACTTAAACGCACAGCATACTCTTGTATTTTGTTTGGCGGATTTGTGATCTAAATCTATAAGAACTTCGCAGAAATTGAGATGAACTTTCCACACCTTTGTCAGAAGGAATCAATACATGAATAGCAGTCGTTGAAAGGTAGTCTCTTTGTTTCGTGGGTTCCATAATTTCAAGAGAATGTTGACGAGATCCGCCTGAAGACCCATGTAAATGAATACATGGGCTTGTGTGAATTTGATGTTTACCTCTATGAAAAGATACTGTTCAACAATTTTCCACGATTTTGTGCATTTTTCAACACCGAATTTAGGCAGATTTTCACGAATGGCGCTTTGCTCCTTTATCTCAATCGTTCGAGTGAGCTGCGATAGTTGCGCCCTTATTATATCGCCCTCAAAGAGCTTGATATATCGCCCTCAAACAGTTGTAAATCTTCATTCTAACTGATGCTATTACCTGCAGTCTAGTGGTTATTGCATTCGAGCGCATTTCTTCGACAGGATCGTCTACATTGTCTATACCATCAAAACGCATGCTGCGCGCCCTCGTTGCTACCTTGGAACGAAGGAATTCCTAAAAATTAATTAATGTCATTCAAATTTTACGTTGCTTACAAATTTTATGACTCACATCATAAACCGTGAGATTGAACGTACTCGTTTTTTTTCCTTTCCATAATGAATTTCGATGCGGCAAAAGGCACTGTGAAAGGATCCTTAAACGATACACTCCGAAACCCCAGAGCAAAGCGTTGGAGTTAGTGTATTGGATGTGCATCACATAATGTACATTTATGATTTGAACAGTGAAGACTAACACACACAAGACTCTATGCCGGATAACATCTCTGGAAGTTGATGGCGGGATACAATAAGATATGGCATGATAAACTAGAAGCAAAGTTTCAGTGTAAGAGAAGCAGCTGATAAAGGATAACGTTTGTTCGATAAACTATCGAAACTAAAGTTCGTTGAGAGGTACAAGAGACAGAGGCTTTATTCAAACACTGAGATATAGCTTCATGGATTTCAAACAGTCATGCAAATGTCCCGAGAGGGACCCGCAGATTTGTACTCCAGTATTTCTGTATCTCCAAAGTGCTTCTCATACTTGTGAGCTCTCGGTGTAGATCATTCGGCAGCATCAGCCAACGCGATATTTTGTTGCGACGCAAAAGTAGAACCTAAAGTAGAAGTAGTAGTAGTAAGTAAAACATAACAAAAGAATCATCTAACTATTCAGTTTTTTGTATCTTAACATCATCATGACTACTTGATGAGCGCGAATTTTCAACGCAAAATCGTAGCCTACAATCAAAAAATGCAAGAGGTATGTGTTCAAGATACTCGAAGTATACTAAAAGTACCACTTAGAAAGGCGATGAAAAGGCATAATGGTCGGATTTAGGAAATTGAGTATGAGTCGTTTCTAGCCAACCAACTCTAGCTTCAAAACAGATATCACATTGCTGCTGAACTCTGATATACATCTACTTTTTGGAATAAGAATTGAATAGAACATAACTATCTAAATGTATGAAAGTTTGAGAGCGATAATAAATAACCGCAGGTTACCGTAAATTAATTACAATGATATGAGAGTATTCTACCAAAGTATTTGGAAACCCACCATTTAGTTATTCACTATCCTCCTTATTCTCCTTATTTCGTCGAACCTTGTTTGACTTCAACATGCTATTTGAAACACTGACATCTTAGCGATGAGCAAAGGCGTACTCCAAGAAAATGTTCTTTCTTCCGCAGGCTTGCATTTTGTCGCTTTCATGATTTTGCAAACGGTGAACGACCTTTTCTTTGCAATGTTGTGCCTTTAGGGCATTTCTCCCAAGATCGTAATAAATGTTTGCATTTTACAGAGCAGTCATCAAGCAATAATCACTGCGATAAAAATCTTTAATCACCTATGTACACATTTGATAAAGTTCAATATATTAATCTGAAACTCCATCTATCAAATTTTTGATGTTCGCATTCAATAAACCCGTAATAACAAAGAAAATACCTGAAACAACATAGAATGTATTCAAACTCAACACTACTATTCGTGAGCGACAAGTTTCTTCGCCACTCCCGAAAGAAAACTACAGTTTCTATCAAAGATGGAAGTACAAGGGCCAGTAACATTCCGGATGTGACTCCTACAAGTGGAATAATCTGCTCGAGATTCGGAATTGCCCATGCGAGACCAACTGAAAACAGAAATTATCATTTATTCATTAGCTTTGATTAGAGCTGCTCGTGTGCCAGCACGGTGCCAGAGCCGTGCCAGCGCTGTGCCAGCGCTGTGTCGGAGTTCAGGACGCTCTCCGCACATGTTAGTAATCTACTACTTCAGTTCGCCTAAGATGGCAGGTCCTTATTAATTGCTGACGTTTCGGCGCTTTTGCCATATCACTGCGCACCTATCGATCGATACAGTCAGCGCAATCCCGGCACAGCGTTCGCATGGCACTGGAACGGAGCTGGAGCGCCGATGGCACTCTAGACGCCGCAACATGGAGAAAGTTCTTAGAATGCCACTCACGTACGAGGAAGACTATCGAGAATCGAAAACAGTACTCAAGGCCAATTATGTACGATCCGCTGACTTTTCGCTCTCGGAGTGGTTCTTTAGCCATAGGCCAAAGTAGCTCTACCAGTGGGTATTGTTAAATCAAAAAACTAGTATAAATGACGCATATTAGCATAACCTTCACCGATATGTTCAGTCTGAAAAATAAAAAAATTTGCTCTGTTTAGGAGGGAAGTCGTCTACTTACGGAGAATTCGACAAATTTAGGGTGATCGATGCTTGCAAGTCGTCACCATAAGTAATAAATCCGTAAAATCCACAAGCAGCATAAACCGACCATAGAGAATAATGACCAAAGAAATAATAGTGACCAAAGAGACCCCCGTAAAAAGCACCCCATTGAAACCACCCATATCCTGCGCCGTGCCAGTGCCGTGCCAGCGCTCTGCTAGTCCTGCTCATGAGGACCTATGAGTACATGCTATTAATTTTCAGCTTCATTCGCATAAGATGGTAGGTCTTTAATAACTGCTGACATTCCGGCGCCCTTGTCCTATCACTGCGTACGTATTGATAGACAGAGCCAGCGCAGTCCCGACACAGTATTGGCACGGCACTGGAGCGGCGCTAGGACGGCGATGGCATTTTGGACGCCGCAGCTTGGAAATAATATTGAAGCGTCACTCACGTATGAGTAGAAGACTATCGAGAATCGGAAACAATACTCAAGGCCAATTATGTACGATCTGCTGACTTGTTCTCGAAGTGGTTTTTTAGCCGTAGGCCAAAGTAGCTCTACTAGTGGATATTGTTGGATCAGGAAACTAGTATAGACGACGCATATCTAATTAATCTAGAAAAAATGAATTTACTACAACATGAAGACCGGTTCATAATTATACGAACACCCCATATTTTGCCATTTCCCGGGCTTTTTGAAAGAAAGGCAAGGAACCATTGGTAGCATGTGAAAGAGCGTAGCCGAAAACAGTATACGCAACACAAAAATGAAATCCGTTGTGAAATTTGGAGAAGCATTGTGCGCCGGACCCTTTTTTGACCGGTTCATATTTATAGGAACTTGAATCAGAGCTCTTTCATCGCTTAACGTTTCAACGTTTTTCGTTCAAACTTTTATGAGCTACGAGGTCAAAGTCTGAGATACATACTATGCGCTGAACGTAATAATGTTTGAAAAGGGGAACTTTATTCTACTTTTATAGCTCGAAATGGATCCGGACCAAGTCGGCTTTAAAAATGTCGGTTCTGCTTTGATTTCAAACTTTTTTCCAGCTCATACGAGTAAAGGTTAAGAGATTGATAAATGTGCTGTCCAACGCCCAAAAATATTGATGTAATCGTCCCAGTTGCCAACCTAGTCCCAAACTTACCTCAGAGTCGACACACTTTTGAGCGTCAAAACTCAATTTCTGCTGTCCGCAAAGTACTGTGATCAGACTAATGCGTCGTTTGCATAAATAAAGATACATCTATGCTAGAGTTTTTGAAATCTCCGCAAAGCTATCCTAAAAGCTTCGAAGCTGGCACGCAAGAGAAGGTTTGCTTGTATTGATTCGCTTGTTTATTTTCATTAAAAGCCGATTGCGTGGTGAAAACAATGTGCTCTTTTGAATTTTTCAGACGAAGTCAGAATCTTGTATACATCACACACAAAATCAAGTTTGCGATGTGCTTACGATATTACAAAACTTTGCGGACGGCAGAAATTGAGTTTTGACGCTTAAACGTGTGCCGACTCTGCGGTAAGTTTGGGACTGGGTTGGTAACTGGGACGATTACATCACTATTTTTGGGTGTTGCACAGCACATGTACTAATCTCTTAACCTTTACTCGTATGAGCTGGAAAAAAGTTTGAAATCAAAGCAAAATCGGCATTTTTAAAGCTGACTTGGTCCGGATCCATTTCGAGCTATAAAAATAGAATAAAGTTCCCCTTTTCAAACATTATTACGTTCAGCGCATAGTAGGTATCTTTTGACAACGTGGCCTCACATGAAACTTTGAACGAAAAACCTTGTAACGTTAAGCGATGAAAGAACTCTGATTGAAGTATTCGTATAATATTATGAACTGGTCAAAAAAACGTCCGGCGCATAATGCTTCTCCAAATTTCACAACGGATTTCATTTTTGTGTTGCGTATATCGTTTTCGGCTACGCTCTTTCACATGCTACCAATGGTTCCTTGCTTTTCTTTCAAAAAATCCGGGAAGTGGCAAAATATGGAGTGTTCGTATAATTATGAACCGTCTTTAGTAGAAAAATTTCGTACTTACGGGGAACTTGACAAACTTAGGGTGATTGATGCTTTCAAGTCGTCACCATAAGTAATAAATCCGTAAAATCCGCAAGCAGCATAGACCATAGTCATTAGAGAAACACCAGTGGAAAGTACTCCATCAAATCCACCCATATCTTGCGGGTGTTTCATCTTATTTTCCAAGGGTAACATGTACAAGAGAACAACATTATCTGGTAGTATTCTGGAATTTTTTTATTGCCATACCATTGCCTGTCCTTCTAGTGCATACATGATAGAGCCAGCAGTAAGAACTATTCCACTAAAGTCCACAACTGCGGGTAGGTCCCGGGTTGGAATGTGTTTGGAAGATATTAGTTCCTTGAAAATTTTTCTTGCCAATTACGAACATCAGAGATGACAAGAAAATTTTTACTTACACCCAGGATTATCCCCACACTCGTAATCATCAGAATTCCCAAATAGTGAGATTAAGGAGAGAACATACAGGCTTCTGACCAGCGATAAAAGCAAAAATGCAGGTAGTGCAAACAGAAAGTAGTCGTCTTTAGTGAGGGCACTGTCAGGCCAAATAAGGTCGACAATCCGAAAATGGAGATTATATTGGATGATCTTGAAAAAAAACAGGAAGGGAAAAGATATTTAGAAAAAAGTAAGCACTAAAACAAACAGTTATAAATATTCTAAACCACTAAATTTTACTTGTGCCAATGATTCTTATTACGTTAGAATATTTATTAGTCCAAAAAGTTTTGACCAACCTTTTTAGCATGTTCGACAATAAAAATATAATAAACGCTGCAGATTCCACATTGCAAAAAGATCAAGCAAGCGTTGACAAACCATCTGACACCTTCTTCATTGTTTTTGAAAACCCACACAATATCAAATTTTACCTAGCCACATATTTATATTTTGCAAACGTATCCCAATCAGCAAATGATTCTTGTGCCAGTTGTCCATAGTCTAGCGTGCCGCATTTGTTCTTGGAAACCAGCAATTACTGTAATAGCACTGTAGTCAACTCAAATATTGAGCGACTTACTTCCGTGACTTACAGCGACTTACATAGATATTGTGCACTTTTGACTAGTTTGATCATAGAAATAATTGAGATTATACCGAGTAAGAAGTCTATGCCAAATGCTACCTAGATGTTATCACCTGAATGCAATATGTATTGGGCAGCGTGCAAAAAAAAGTACGTCGGCGTTGTGCCAGCGCCGTGCCAGCACCATACTGGCTCTCAAACCGCTACTTGATCGATCTGCGTGTTGGCATGGCGCTAGCACGGCTAACTCTGCAGCTTTAATTATCAAACTCACCCACAATTCAGCCTGTTCGAAAGCAGGGTACGACTAGATGAAATGAGAGAGGGGTAGGGGATAGAGGACATTAAACGGCTGCAAGGGAGTTCCCGCGCGGACATTTGTAATAAACCACGCGCCTTCACCATTAGTTTCTCACGCTAACTGCCTACGTGGGTGGAGCCTATCGGCGACCTAATGTTCCCCCCCCCCCCCCAGGGTAAGTTCCCAGAGCAAATTAGTCATCAAGTTTGTTTTGCTAAATTATAATCATAAAGCTAGCAAAAGTTTTTTTTAAACAAATGTGTGCATTTGTTTAAAAAAAACTTTTGCTACACAAAGCACAAAAATAAAGAAGGAATAGATGCAAAGAAAAAAGGACATTATTAGTTAATCACTCGCCTGCCATACAAAGCATACGTAGTAGTCGGCTTTTGATTCTAAATCGTAGAACTGACGAATGCTTGGAAAGCAGAGATTTCTTTTCAGCTGACGTCAGACAGATTATTAGCTAGACTAGCAGCTTGAAGTGGGTGACGATCAGAGAGCATTGAGATTGCTGACGTCGATGACAGAAGAAGAGCAGGCAATGAGATTGAAAAAATAAATTTCAGGAGCAAGTGGGCAATCTACTCGTGTAAAGCGGAGTCTTCAGAATTGTAGAGATTCTCGTACATTATAGGGCTTACAAGCAAGCTGGATATCGTTTTGCAACTAAAAGCAAAGGAGATATTGTTTTCGCGGTCTGAAAAAACACGAGTTGGGTTGGGTTCTTTTATGGACGTTTCCGATTTTGGGTCAAAGGGGACTTCGTAAAATTTTGCTAAAGTCAGAGGTGACTTCGTTTTTTGCATATTTAAAAAGTCACCTCGCGGCGAGTCCTGATCATATTATCTTTTGGCGGTATGCCAAATGCTATTACTACGACTAACAAGCTGGGACTTCGTTTTTGGAGCAAGAAGCAAAGGAGATATCGTTTTCGAGGAGTCGGGGCCGAGCACCAAGAATAAGCGCCATTTAGTCGAACACAAGCTTTTCGGACAGGTTATCACAGATTGACATTCTCTATCGTGTACGGCGGAAAATGCGCGCGATTTGAAAGCAAGGTTAAAATAAACGACTTGCTTGTTTACAGCGCACACAGAATCATATGACACCAAAACTGAACAGTATACATAAAGAATTATTTGCAAAAGAACTATGTAAAAATATTTGAAAACTTATGTGAAAACTTATTACCTTTTCCAAAATTGGTCCGTCTTCACACACGGTCACCAAACGATTTGAGATAGTCTGGAGCATATATTTCTGTCACTTCACATAAGTTTCAAATCTATCCATTAAGGTGATCACTAAAAAATGGGACAGCTTGATTTCTGTCAAATTTTGAGATTTTTTGTTTCGATCAACAACAAGCAGGCTGCAACGTAAACGTCGCTTATATAAGCGACCTTCGCCTATTATTCTGGCAAAACGTCAACGCTCCTCTCCCACAACCCTACGCGTGGCGCCCTGAAG